TGTATAGCGAGAGAGTACTGAAAGAATTAACATTGGATTTTATGTTACTCCAGGGTACATAGTATTACCATGTTAGATGTGATACCTTATTCATATACCACGCATTTACATGGTTCACTAAGGTACTTCAGTGAATACTGTTATACTGTTGTATTACCTTGGTACATGTGCAAAAATGTGGTAACCTTTTCACAAGTGAGTCTATCAGCAACTATGCCAAATAATTCTCTCAATTTAGATTTATCTTCCCTTTATTTCAGACATGTTTGCTGCTGACAGTTATTATACTGCCTTTGAAATACACAGGCTACAGAATCCAGAAGAATAATGGTTTAATATCCATTTATCTGGGCACTATAGTCTATAATAATGGCTGGAATTTGTCCGGAGTGAGTGTTTACTGTGTAGAATTGTGATAAATGGATGGGTTTTAGCAACTAGCGTGGTCATACCATTAATGATTTCGCTGTGAAGGGTGCTGTAGTGCAAATTGAGAGCTCTGAATGACAAAGATAGGCAAAAGAGGCTTCGTCCAACACCACAGATGACAGGGACTCTGTGTGACTGACAGTGGGTGAACATTTCTCCACTGCAAGGGCTGGTGAACCCACGGCTAAATATGTGCATGCAATGCTTCCACCTAATAATTAGACATCCGAATATAAAATTATCTATTCTTTGAAAACAGGCGCATTGTTCCATTTAGCAGAAGCATAGTCAGGGGCTTTGTCATGAAAAATACCCCATTGATACAGCCGGAAAGTGGTTGTTCTAGGTTCAGTTCTTTTGTGCAACTCTCAGTTGTTTGTTTTACATCTTGAGTCCATTAACTGCTTGCTAATAAAGCTTGTGTTTGAGAAAGAGCTCAAACTGATTTACATATCGGTTTTGCAGGAGACAAAAGAGCTTGTGGCCATTAAGAAGTTCAAGGACAGCGAAGGTAAAAGACTGCTACAACCAAATGCTTGCTTTATTCATCCATGCAATTTACTGGTTGGAGACTTTGAATTGAACTACAATACTCTTGTGGTTACCATGACACAAAGTATAATTCACATTATTTACTCCAAGACTCTTTTTTGGATAGCTATATGTGACCCTGGACCACAAAACCAGTCTTAAGTCGCTGGGGTATATTTGTAGCAATAGCCAAAAATACATTGTATGGGTCAAAATTATTGATTTTTCTTTTATGCCAAAAATCATTAGGATATTAAGTAAAGATCATGTTCCATGAAAATATTTTGTAAATTTCCTACTGTAAATATATTAAAACTTAATTTTTGATTAGTAATATGCATTGCTAAGAACTTAATTTGGACAACTTTTAAAGGCGATTTTCTCAATATTTTAATTTGTTTTGCACATTTTCAAATAGTTATATCTCGGCCAAATATTGTCATATCCTAACAAACCATACATCAATGGAAAGCTTATTTATTCAGCTTTTTTCGAATTTCGAAAAATTGACCCTTATGACTGGTTTTGTGGTCCAGGGTCACATATATGCTTTACCCAATGATTGTAAAATGTTGAGCTTTTTTTTAAAAAGGGACATGTAAATACATTTTTAAACCTGACTTGTGTTATTTTTATTTTCTAATGATAAATATCAAAATTAAATGGACAAATGTCATCATGTTGATTAATGTGATGATAGATGGTTGATATCTTAGAGTTTCACAACAAAAAGACATGCGATTTGCATCCATAATACTTTAAAAGGTTTGTTTGTGAGAAGTGCCTTTTATAATGTCATTTTACTTTGAGAGCTCCATAGCACATTTGTTTTACTCAAGAAAACAAAAGCCCCTTTTCAATCTTGCCTAACCCCCTGTGTGTTCCTGCAGAGAATGAGGAAGTTAAAGAAACGACGTTACGAGAGCTCAAGATGCTCCGTACGCTGAAGCAAGACAACATCGTAGAACTGAAAGAGGCTTTCCGTCGACGGGGAAAACTCTATCTAGTGTTTGAATATGTGGAGAAGGTCAGCGCAAAACACTTCTTTTATTTTCTTATTCACTTGTAGTGGTCTGAACTATAGTTCAGATGACATGTTGATAGTGTCTCAGATAGTGTTTTGCTGCATATTTCAGAATATGCTGGAGTTGTTGGAGGAATTGCCTAATGGTGCACCACCTGATAAAGTACGGAGCTACATCTTTCAGCTGATCAAAGCTATTCACTGGTGCCACAAAAATGAGATCGTTCACAGGGGTATGACCGTCTCTGTGTTCTTGAAAGAGTGCCTTCATTTATGTAATTTAATGTTTGTTTTTATTGTGTTTTATTATGTGTCTGTGTTTTTTTTTTTTTTTTTTTGAGTTGAATTCTGTAACTTTTTTAAAACTGAATATAATAGTATTAAAGGAAGTTGTGATTTAACGGTCATTAGGAATCAAATTTGATACGATCTGTGATGTATTTGATCTATTTTTATGCCATTTTCAACATCTTTTATTTATTGATGGTGTAATCTTTGTGTACAAAATGTCCTCAACACAAATCGAGCTCACTAAGAAAATATCCATCCTTTTTATCTAATCTGCAGATATCAAGCCTGAAAATCTCCTCATCAGCTCCAATGATATCCTGAAGCTGTGTGATTTTGGTAAGCAAAGGCTTTCACTCGTCTGATTCAGGACCCTCCACCCCCATATTCACACTGATCTCGCTCACTGAATGATTGGTCTCCTTTCCAGGCGTCATGAGTCCCGCAGTGACGTCTGAAAAAAAAATGATCTGAAATTGGATTTGAGTGGAAGGGAATTAAAATGTTTTTGTCCAAATCACACAGTACAGGAGGTTTGAGTGACCTAGCTTATTCTCTGGAATGCAAATTTTGAGTTGATTTTGTGTCATTCCAGATATATGATTTCATAGACTGAAATGAAAGACTGGGGAAATATCACAGAAAAGGACTGTGTTGGGGAGTAACTTACTCATAGTAGCAACTCTACTCTCTTTTTCATTATAGCATGACAGTACTTCATTGTTTTTAGTAACTATTTTTACAATAAGCAATGCAGTGGTGTGTGACAACCCAACATCGCTATTTTTAATGCTTGCACAACATTGTCTAATTCTGAAAAAATATTTCTATGTAGTTTTGTGTAGCATTATACAAAATCTAACTATGTATTTCTATATGATATTATTTTTGCATAGAATTACACCTCATAATATATTGAATTAAATGCTGCCGTTCATCACAGTTTTTGACTGTTCAAGTTATAAATACTGATCTGGTTGCAGAAAAAAACAATTCTTACGTCTTATTTATATTATATAATTTATAATTTATAAAAAAATATATGTAATGTGCACGTGTTAATTTATTTAATATACATTGTATTTTTAATTTATATATTTTAAAATAAATTGACACACCACATATAAAATTTTATAAATTAAGATTATATAACTGTAAATAAGATGATAGAATTGAAATGAACAATGATATAATTGTTTAAATAAACAGTATATAAACACATTACATATGTTTATAAATGATAAATTAATTATAATTGTAGATGATAAGATGATATAGAAATGAGCAATATAAACACATATAAATATTTGTTATAATATGTTATATGTTTACATTATAATCCCACTAAATAACCTTTCCAATAAATTGACCAGTAGCATATATATAGTAACTTTTTTCAAAAGAATAACTTGACTGTAATTTCAATTTTGAGTAGCTTGACAATTAGTTTCAAAGTAGCTTCCCCAACACTGGCTGGTAGTATTGTGACTCTGGAAGATACGGTCAAAACACAGGCTATGGTCACATATTGTGCTTCCCAGCCTCCAGGTTCTGCTCCTGATGAAATGTATATGTTCACTCAGGGTTAAATTTTGCCTCCACACTGAATGCCACGGAAATTGAGCATGACTCACTCCACAGGCTTCTCTCTAAGACTTTTATTTTTAGAGGGAAGAATATGACAAGATTAATTAAGATCTCTGAATGTTATGTGCAGTTTGCTCATACCCGATACCCTATCTCTTTGCTCTTCTCCCTTTGATCTTTCTATCCCGTCTGGTCAACCCCACAGGCTTTGCCCGCAATCTCTCTGAAGGCAGCGATGCTAACTACACAGAATATGTGGCGACCAGGTGGTACCGCTCACCTGAACTGCTCCTTGGGTAAGTCCTCATATCTGTACTTCCTGTTTTGTTTTTCACAGTGATTTCTAGTATACTTTGTTTACAGAGACATGACAAAAAATGTCTTCCTCAGTGAAGCCAAAAAGCATGAAAAATCAAACTCCCCTCAAATAGAAGCACTAATATTCATTGAGGGCACATCCTTTTTAAAAATGCTGATTTGATATAGCCATTAGATGTGACATCAGGAGTGCGGTGCATGATTATTTGTCCTTGTCGCCATTGAAGCGTTATTTTCTAGTGTGTGCCACTAGACTAGATGAATGCAGTGGAACATTTTTTGAAACTCTCACCATTTAAATTCCACCCACACAAATATTCTCTCCCTCCCTCTTGCTGTGTGTTAGTGCAAAGATTTGTGTCTCAGTGTAATGTCTATCTATCTGCCTCTGTCTCTGCATGCATTTCTCCTCATCCCTCTTTCATTTTTAGTGGTGCTATTGTTCTCAGAGTTGGGATTTGAACAAAACCTTAACCCTAAGCATGTCACTCGTCCTGCACCGTTTGTGCTACAGACATGAATGGCGCTTCAAATCATGGTGCTTTGAAAAGTCTTTCTATTACTTTTCTAAGCAAACAGACTTGTGATTTCTGTCTTTCAGATGATAAACACAGGTGAAAAAATCCTTTGACTTACTTTGAAGGAGCTATATTTAGGGCTACAGAAACATCCTAACTTAGAATCATTTTCTATCTTTTTAGTAACCATGGTAATTTTCACTTAGGAAATAGAACTTTTTTTAATTTTACAGGGATAGTTCACCCAAAAATGAAAATTCTGTCATCATTTGCTCACCCAGCCTGTATCTGTTGAGCACAAAAGTTATATTTTGAAGAATGCTGGTAACCAAACAGTTGACAGTAGCCATTGACTTTCATAGTATGGAAAAAAATGTATGGAAGGCTACCAGCAACTGTTTGGATGCCAACATTCTTCAAAATATCTTCTTTTGTGTTCAGCAGAAGAAAGGAACTCATACAGGTTTGGAACGACCTGAGGATTTTACTATTTTACTGATCTGTTTATAATTTAACTGCATGTACATTTAACATGTATTTAACTTCATGTATTTGAAATGCTAATTATCTTTATGGAAATGGAGAACTCAGATGAAGGTCAATTCTTGACTTATATTTGTCTTCTGCTTGGCTCTCACAGAGCTCCATATGGGAAGGCGGTGGACATGTGGTCGGTGGGGTGTATTTTGGGAGAACTGAGTGATGGGCAGCCCCTGTTTCCAGGCGAGAGTGAAATTGACCAGCTCTTCACCATTCAGAAGGTGTTGGGCCCCTTACCACCAGAGCAGATGAAGTTGTTTTACAACAACCCTCGTTTCGCTGGACTAAGAGTAAGGACCTGTCTTCTTCTCTGTCCTGTTCTGTTCTGTGCTTTCCTCTCCTCTGCTCTCTTTTCCTATGGCACGGATCCCAGTATTCTGAATAAGTGGCTGTCTGTGACTCATGTATCGCTATGTGCCAGTGTGAAACACAACTGGCTTTGCCTTGACAGGGCTGATCACAGTACATAATATTCACACACATACGCATACACTGACACATACATTTAGACTCTTTTGGACACTCAAGTCACATTTTAAATGGTACTTTGTTTTTAGGGATGTCCCTATCAGGTTTTTTGTGCCCCCGATTTTAGTCGTTGAATATTAAGCATCTGCCGATACCGAGTTCCGATCCGATACTTGTATTTTCCTAGTGCTTGGTGCACGTCAAGTACATTGACGTTATTAAAATCAATCCAATGTATACGGGGATGTGCAGAGACTTTCTCAGGGGCAGGGGCACAGATGTAAAAAAAAAAAAAAGGGACATCTATCATCATTAATATCCTATAATAACTATATACTGTATACTATACAGAGGCGGACAAAGTACTCAATTCCATTACTTAAGTGAAAGTACAGATACTGCTGGTCAAATATTACTCCATTACAAGTAAAAGTTGTAAAGACAGATTTTTACTTAAGTAAAAGTACCAAAGTACTTGCTTTTAAAAGTACTTAAGTACCAAAAGTAAATTTCCTTTTTTATATTAATGCACTGTTTTATTGTTGTACGTAATACTCAACACTGTTCTGTGATTTCTCAATAAAATAGCTTAGAAACTGAAAAGTTCAAGCATATATTTCTTAATAACTAGTAAATTCCACAGCTTCACTACTAGTAGAGAGACGCTGCCAGGTAGAATTAATTTACACACGCAATCGCTCTCACTAATGCATTCATGTTAATGTAATCTTTACTGTGCTACTTTATCTGTATCTGATTTAGAATGAGCAGAAATCTGTGAGAAATATAACGACTTAAAGTCAAAAGAACTGATTAAAAAAAAGCTGTTATAGGAGCAATAGCCGTGTGGGCAGCGCTGTGTCATATGCCATAGCTGTGCACAAGGTGTTTGTCACAGCTCCAGACTTATTTGTTCATTAATGACGTCATCAGCGACTAGTCGACTTCGACTCGACTTTCATCGCATAAAAGTCGACTTTAAAAAATCAGAAGTCGTTCAAGCCCTACTATAAACTTCTTGTATATTATATGTACATTAAGCAGATTAATTGCAACATAAAGGGGGAAAAAATTGAGATAAGGTTAGAAAGCATGAAGTTTGCGAATGCCAGTTTATCAGTCAAGTCCAAAGGAAGACGCAACCCATAGCAATGCATTATGAATTTTTTTTTAATTGCTTTTGTAGTTTTTTCAAATATTACTATTTAGGTTTAACTGAGTTTTTATTTCAGTTTCAGTTTTTATATATTTCTATTTAGTAATTCTAATGCTTTAGCCTATTGTAATGCTTTCACATCTTAATGCAATTAATCAATCACAAGTATTCCATATTTGTTATGAATTATGCGATTGTTCCGCTTTATTCTTTAGTCCTCCCTCTTTTTTAAATTTATATATGTGTGTGTTTTTGTTGCAGTTTCCTTCTGTAAGTCATCCTCAAACGCTTGATAGAAGGTACCTGGGCATCATCAATGGACTCATGTTGGATTTAATGAAGGTAAAACGATCTGCAAAATTCTTTAGAGAACAGTATTCCCTTTTGAATTCCCGTAGTTGTGATATATTTGCTGTTGATTTATTTTAAAATAAACTGCAGATGTCATATCACCCCCAAGTGCAAAGTGTTATTAAAAATTAGTTTTATTGTTCTAGTGTGGCATGACTCTCCTCATTCTCTTTTCACTGTATCAGAACCTGCTTTGCCTGAACCCCACCGAACGCTTTCTGACAGAACAGTGTCTGAACCACCCAGTGTTTCAAGGCCTTAGAGGGCCAGAGCGGCCAGCTGCCCCGTCGCCCACCGCACCTCGCTCCTCAAAGAGAAAACCATACCATGGAGACAACACCATACCCAGCCGGTCAGTAATAGCTGCTTCTATGAACTAGTTAATGTGTCATTTCCAAGCCACTAGTGGCAGCAAATGGAGCTGCCAAAATGACATATGTTTCGTATTCACTACTGCATGTTGGCTACGCCCCTGAATAAGCATTGTTCAAATAAACAGATAGTGCTGCACCATTGGTTGAGCCAGAATCTGACATGAGCAATGTTTTAAAGGGGTCATATGATGCTGCTAAAAAGAACATTATTTTGTGTATTTGGTGTAATGAAATGTGTTTATGCGGTTTAAAGTTCAAAAAACACATTATTTTCCACATACTGTACATTATTGTTTCTCCTCTATGCCCCGCCTTTTTGAAACGCGTCGATTTTTACAAAGCTCATCGGTCTGAAA